CTGATCTTATTTCTGTATACCTGAAAGAACCCTTTTGGGTTAGTCTTTGAATCCCTTGCGACCTTAGCCTCATAATCCCTTTTTGCTTTTCTTATTCCTTTCTTTATTTCTCTCTTTAATTGAATATATTGATTTCTTAACTGCCCACCTCTCTTTTGATACGCCTATATATGCCTCTCTTTTGACCAATGAGATGTTTTAATCTATTGTTCATCCATTTGGGATCATTTTTGTTAGATCTTATTTCCTTACTCGGAACAAAAGTTGTCTGGGTAGCTAGAACTATGCTCTGAAAAACGTCATATTGACAACCAAGATCACCTACCTGGCCCATAGTCAGGACATCCCAATTTAGCACACCCAGGTAATTTCTAAGTCCCATGAAGTCGGCCAAGTGAAAATCTGGGACAGAGATTTGATTGCAGTTATCTGGGTAATTCCATGATACATTGAAACTAAGTGATTTGTGATCACTTTCCCCAAGCTCATCATTAACCTCAAGATTATTAGTGAATCTTTGTTGGCAAGAATCAAGTCAAGCAGATTGTTTCCTCTTGTTGGTTCTGTCACAACCTGTTCTAAAAAGCAATCCTGAACCGTATCAAGAAAGTCACAAGACTCAGGATTTCCTGTCATACTGTTCCAATCAATTTGTCTAAAGTTAAAATCTCCCATTATCTCGACATTTTCATATCTAGATGCCTTATGAATTTCGTCCCATAACAGCTTACTGCACTCCCTATCAAGGTTTGGGGGCCTATAAATCACACCCAAAATTAATTTGTCACGTCCCTCGAGAAACTGTAGCCAAACAGATTCTGTGTGCGATGTTTCTAATCATGTCTAACACAAGAATTTAAATTTTCTCTGACATACATCGCCACACCACCACCCTTCCTGTTGACCCTATCAGTGTGGAATAGTTTATAGCCCTGTATGTTGCATTCAGAAGGCATTTCTCTATCTTTCAGGTTGAACCAGGTCTCTGTTATACCAATAATATCTATATTACCTACACTTGCAAGTAATCTTAGCTCATCTGTCTTATTTCTTAGACTCCTACTACTTAAGGGAGCTAGTCACTCGTTGCCCTCTACTATCTCTCTCTGTTTGTTGATCAATTGATTTGCCATTACTAGCAACCTTATTTTGAATATTGTCGTTTAAACATATCCCTGAGGTATCCCGGTAATAACTGCTGGTGGAAATGACATTGGGAAGGGCAGGAGACAGGAGCTGCTGGATAAATACAGGTCAGCCATAGAAGTAGTCAGGTCTAAGAGAGGGATCCCAATCATAGGAAGGATCTTGCCTAGAAGGGGAGTGGGCAATGAATGGATGTCTAGAGCAATTGGTATAAATTGTTGGCTATACAAGTACTGCAAGGAACTTGCAATCCCATTCATTGATAACTAGGACAAATTCTATAGCAAACATATGTATGCAAGGGATGGGGTTCATCTCTCTGGGGCTGGAGTGGTTGCATTAGCTAATTCGATTGAGGGGGTCATTGATGACTTGTCTAGGAATTTAAACTAATAAATTATAGAGGTAAGGGTGTTAATGGGAAACAATCAGGCTGCAGTACTAGGGTTGAAAACAGCAGATATTACCAGGATACCCAGGGTTATGTTTAAAAGACAATATTCAAAATAAAATTGCTAGGAAAGGCAAAGCAACTGCTCAACAAAGAGATAGTAAGAGGGCAATGAGTGACTAGCTCCCTTAAGGTTTACTATACAAATAGTAGGAGGCTAAGAAATGAGACAGATGAGCTAAGATTACTTGCAAGTGCAGGTAATATAGATATTGCTATAACTGAGACCTGGTTCAACTTGAAAGATAGAGAAATGCCTTCTGAATGCATCATACAGGGTTATAAACTATTCCACACTGATAGGGTCAACAGGAAGGGTGGTGGACTAGCGATGTATGTCAGAGATGATTTAAATTGTTGTATTAGACAAGATATAAGATTAGAAACATCGGACACAGAATCTGTTTGGCTACAGTTTCTCGAAGGTCGTGAAAAATTAATTTTGGGTATTGTTTATAGGTACCCAAACCTTGATAGGGAGTGAGGTAGGCTGCTATGGGACGAAATTCATAAGGCGTCTAGATATGAAAATGTTGTGTTACTGGGAGATTTTAACTTTAGACAAATAGATTAGAAGAATGTGACAGGAAATCTTGAGTCTAGTGACTTGATACGGTTCAGGATTGCTTCCTAAAACAGTTTGTGACAGAACCAACTAGAGGAAACAAGTTGCTTGACTTGGTTCTTGCCAACAAAGAATCACTAGTTAATAATCTGGAGGTTAATGATGAGCTTGGGGAAAGCGATCACAAATCATTTAGTTTCAATATATCATAGAATTACCCTGATATCTGCAATCAAATCTGTCCTAAATTTCCACTTAGCTGACTTCATGGGACTGAGAAATTACCTGGGTGGGCTAAATTGGGATGACCTGACTATGGGTCAGGTAGCTGGTGTTGGGAAATTAGATCTAACAAAAATAATCCCAAATGCATAAACAATAGATTAAAATATCTCACTGGTCAAAAGAGAGGCATATATAGGCGTATCAAAAGAGAGGATGGGCAGTTAAGAAATCAATATATTCAGTTAAAGATAAAAAAAAAAGGAATAAGAAAAGCAAAAAGGGATTATGAGGCTAAAGTCTCAAAGGATTTGAAGACTAATCCAAAAGGGTTCTTTCAAGTATACAGACGTAAGATTAGAAACAAGATAGACTCACTTAAGAGTAACTCAGGTCAGATCACTGACAGTGATAAGGAAATGTGTGAACTTTTCAATACTTACTTCCTCTAGGCTTTTACTCAGGAAAATACTAGAGAAATTCCAGAAATACTAAATTATGTAGAACAGGACGATAATAAACTATGCACGATTAGGGTAACTAGTGACATGGTCCTCAGACAAATAAAGAAATTAAAACCTAACAAATCCTCAGGCACTGATGAACTGTTTTCAAGGGTTTTAAAGGAATGTAAAGAGGAACTTAGCATACCTTTGGCTAATCTTTTCAATATGTAACTACAAACTGGCATAGTACCAGACAATGGCAAATGTAATACCTATTTACAAGGCAGGTGACAGGTCCTTAGCTTCAAACTATAGACCAATAAGCTTTAGCTCCATAGTTGGAAAATTTATGGACTCGATAACTGCCGAAGCAATTCGTAGCTATCTTGAAAGGCATAAATTGATTAATGAATCTCAGCTCGGTTTTACAAAGGGGCGTTCCTGTCTTACGAATTTACCAACTTTCTTCGCTAAGGTATTTTAGTAGGTAGGTCATGGTATTGAATATTATATTGTGTATATGGACTTCAGTAAGACTTTCGACAGAGTTCCACATCAGAGGCTATTGAGGAAACTTAAAGCACCCGGAATAGGAGAAATTATTTCCTGGGTAGAGGCATGGTTGACAAACAGGCACCAGAGAGTTGGCATAAATGGGGAGAAATCAGAATGGGGGCATGTCACAACCGGTGTTCCACAGGGGTCAGTGTTGGGCCCCTTGTTGTTCACAATTTACATAAACGACTTAGATGGAATAAATAGTGACATAAGCTAATTTGCTGATAACACCAAAACAGGCAGTCCAATTCATTCTTATGAGGACATTAGAGTACTCCAGGATGATTTGAATAGACTGGTGTAATGGTCGGAGAAGTGGCAGATGTAGTTTAATATAGACAAATGCAAAGTTCTAAATGTTGGACAGGAAAATAACCATGTCATATATAAACTAAATAATGTAGACTGCGAAAAGGATTTAGGAGCTCTGGTTAGCAGTACTCTGAAACCAAGACAACAGTGCATAAGTGTTCGCAATAAAGCTAACATAATCCTTGCCTTCATAGCAAGAAGTATAAATAATAGAAGTCCTCAGGTTGTTCAACTCTATCTTTGGTTGGGCCTCATTTGGATTATGCTGCAGGTCACCGTATTATAGAATGGATATAAATGCACTAGAAAACGTACAGAGGAGGATGACAAAGTTGATCTCATGTATCAGAAATTTTCCCTATGAGGACAGACTGAGGGCCCTGAATCTGCACTCTCTAGAAAGGCGTAGAATTAGGGAGGATATGATTGAGGTGTATAAGTGGAAGACAGGAATTAATATGGGGATGTAAATAGGGTGCTAAAAATATCTAGCATAGACAGGACTTGCAGCAATGACTTTAGGTTTGAAAAATTCAGATTCAGGAAGGATATAGGAAAGCACTGGTTTGGTAATAGTTGTGGATTGTGGAACAAACTCCCGAGTACCGTCATAGAAGCTAAGACGTTGTGTAGTTTTAAAAATAGGTTGGATAAATACATGAGTGGGTGTAGGTGTGGGTGTGTGTGAGTTAGATCTGACTAGCTTGTGCTACTAGGTCAGATGCCTTGCTCCTCCCTGAAGTGAATGTGACTGACTTGACTAGGTTAAGGCATTAGCTTAAGCCGGTGGGAGAATTGGACCTGCCTCGCAAGGGCCAGTAGGCCTGCTGCAGTGTTCCTTCTTTCTTATGTTCTTGTGAGTGATGCTCTAGTAGTGATGAGTAAAGTGTTAGTTGTGATGAGTGAGGTTCTAGTAGTGATTAGTAAAGTGTTAGTAATGATGAGTGACGTGCTAGTTATGATGAGTGAATTGTTAGTTGTGATGAGTGAAGCGCTAGTTGTGATGAATGAGGTGGCAACTATGATGAGTAACATGCTAGATTTGATGAGTAAATCGTCATGTGTGGTTAAAGTGGAAGTTGTGATGATTGATGTGCTGGCTGTGTTGAGTAATGTCAGCTGTGATGAGTGAGGTGTTTCCTGTGTTGAGTGGTAGCTATAATGAGTAAAAGACCATCTCTGATAAGTATCAGCTGTAATGTCAGCTCACATGAGTAACCTGACAGCTGTGATGAGTAGTCAGCTGTGATGAGTAAAGTGTCAGATGTGATGAGTAAAGTGTCAGCTGTGTTGAGTAAAGAGTCAGCTGTGATGAGCAAAGTGTCAGCTGGGTGAGCGAAGTGTCAGATGTGATTAGTGAACTGTCAGCTGTGATGAGCGAGGTATCAGCTGTGATGAGTAAAGTGAGTATCACCAACAGGTGGTGGGAGCCAAGGAGAGGGAGAACTCTGCTTACCTGAATGGACTTAAACCTGCCAATCCAGCCACGTAATTACCCAAACTAAACTGCCTGCCGTTCATGCTTGTTTCACTGTATTATCCCCTGGCCTTACACAGCTGCCTGCCATTCATGCTTGCTTCACTCCTTATCCCCTGGCTTCACGCAACTGCCTGCCGTTGATGCTTGCTTCACTCTTTATTATCCCTGGTGTCACACAACTGCCTCCTGTTGATGTTTGCTTCACTCTTTATTATCCCTGGTGTCACACAACTGCCTCCTGTTGATGTTTGCTTCACTCTTTATCCCCTGGCTTCACGCAACTGCCTACCGTTGATGCTTGCTTTACTCTTTATCCCCTGGCTTCACGCAACTGCCTGCCATTCATGCTTGCTTCACTCCTTATCCCCTGACTTTACAAACTGACTTATGTTTGTGCTTGCTTCACTCTTTATTATCCCTGGTGTCACACTCAATTGCCTGCGTTTCCTGCTTGTTTCAGTGAAGGGGCGAGTGACGGTAGTGAGTGACCCAGTGAATTCCTCACATAACAGTGTAAGGGTGGGTGCCAGCTGTGTGTAACCAGGTTTATCTTCCACAGAGCAGTGAAGGGGTGGGTACCAGCTGTGTGTGGCCCAGCTCTCTACTACTACCACGAAGACTTCTCCAAGAGAATGGTGGAGTGGTTGGAGATCCTGAGGGCGGAGGGCATTGGTAAAGTGTTCCTCTACGTTACTGACGTTCATCCTAACTTGGAGAAGGTCCTCAAGTACTACGAGGATGACGGCTTCCTTCACCTCACTGGCTACTCCTACCCACCACCATATATCAACGAGCCAAGTCTTCGTAGGTAGGACATATTTTCATGAATGTAATGCAGATATGTAAGTAAGGAATCTTTGGAATTTGTGTATGTAGTGTGCATATAAGTGTACAAAGATGTAACAATAATATAATTAATGTTATAAATTACGTAGTTTAGTTAAAAAACGATGTATTTCAGAAAATGCTTCAAAATGTTCTAAATAGTTGAAATATACAATAAAAAAACATTTTAGCACAATTTTCGTAATTTTTTACGTACCGCGTATTTTTAAAAAATCCCACAAAATATTCAACAATATTCTCATGGGTTTAGTGCTTAATTTTCTGGAGGAATGTGCTTCAGTAGAAATGCTTGAAAGTTAAGCATGAGGGGTTAGAAGTGTGTCGAGGCTGGAGATTAGTGTAAAAGTGAAATTTAAATCGAAGTGCAAGAAGGTTAATTTCAATTATTAGGAATGTCTGTGTCAAAGGTGGGACTTGCAGCGAGGTTACTTCGTGTGTTTGGGACTATGTCAACGTCCTAAACTGGTTTTGTTTCTTCAGTAAAGTCGATATGCATAGTCTTAGTTTCCGTGGTCGGATAATTGGCATGTAGTGACGCGAAAGGTGGTTAGGGCGGAGGATGGAAGTACATTGCTAGCTGACAAGATGGTAGGAGACTGGGAGAAGGTAGTAGTCTCCTGGGATGGAGGAGTCTGGGTAGGAACAGAGGAGGCAGTGGCAGAATATAGGGTGGATGGATTTCCTCAACTATCACCCATGCAGGAGGAGGCAAGGAGCACGGCACAGAGATAGGGGAACGTTAAACATGGCAGGAAGTATTGGTGACTGGTGGAGGTTTGAGCTTTTGTTAATTTTTGGAAAAGTTGAAGGCCCTGCTAGGAAAGGCTGTGTGGGTGATGAAACATGAAATATAGAGAAGAGGAGTTACTGTGACAGAGACAACAGGGACCCCTGGGTGCAATACAGCTCGTGAGTGCGAGAGCCGTGGAAGTTCTCCTTGGAAACATACCTGGAGTATACCTGGAGAGGGTTTCGGGGATCAACGCCCCCGCGGTCCGGTCTGTGACCAGACAAAAGTATCAAAATATCCTCCTTTTCCTCGAGACAGCGGAAAGTTTACAGATAATACAATTTAACACTTAACCAAAATTTCCTACGCCAAACTCGCTACATCTAAATTTCTCAGAACAAGAATATAAACTTATATACAGCATTCCCAGCAACCCAAGACCAGCCGGAATGTATGGCCTGCCGAACATACACAAACCAGTAATTCCACTGAGGCCCATCTCATCTGGAACAGGCAGCGATCTCCATAAACTATCTGGGATCCTTGCCAAAAAATTAGGAAATCTCTTAGGCATCACAAGTCACGCACATTTAAAACATTTTGGTTATTTCCTCAAACGTATCCGAAACACGAATATCAGAAAAAAAAAACTCTGTAACCTAGATGTGACATCCCCATTCATTAAATTACCCAATGCACAAGTCATCGATCTAATACAAAGAAAAATTGATGACATCTTCGCCCTCCCGTTCCAGCCAGCATTTTTTTTTTTTTCTCGTTAAGTTATATGTTGGTTTTAATTGTTTCTCATTTGAAGATTCTTTCAACAGACTTTTGGTACACCACTTAATGATGGACCCATTAAGTGTGTTTTTTAGTGAACCTATACATGGAACATCTTGAAGCCAAGAAATTTTTCCTCTATCATTCCCTCCTCTGCCACCTGGTTCCGTTTTGTTGATGACATTCTCATCGTAAGATTCGACGTCTGCCGTTTATGCCAGCTCAGCCAGGTCGAGCATTCTATCCAGTTCATACTAAAAGATTAAGTCGATGGCAATCTATATTTCCTTGACGTTCTCCTTTGTAAATCTGATCATGAACTACGATTCCAAATCTACCCAACACCTACCAGTCAACACGATCATCACTACTACTACTACTACTACTACTAGCACCACGACACCAAGACTGAACGTGACCTCGTCATAGATGTTCGGCTTCTAGATGTTCCATGTATAAGTTTGCTAAAACGGCGCTCATGGGAAAGCCCATTTCCATACAATATGTTTGTTTGTAGAGTCTGTTGCTGAAACAGAAACATCAGAGACAAGCCATACCACGGGTGGGATTTGAACCCGCGGTCAGAGTCTCAAAACTCCAGACCTAGCATTAGATGGTAAATTTCCCATAATGGTGTAAAAATGAAAATCTCGGGGATAATGAAAGCTCAAACATATAAATAAAATTGCACAAAGATTTATTATTTAATAAGCGATTCAAATTATGAAAGTTATATTTTTCAAACAAATAATTTGTTTTTTAATTGTTAATTTCTTTAGGTTTTTCCACAACCTGAAGCGAAAATGTTTCAATGAAATTCTTTAGGTCCCTAATGAGATTTTTTTTATTAAATTTGTTGTTATTTTTTTTTATTTCATGCAGTTTACTTTTTATTATTTCGTTAAGTGTGTTTTATTTTTAAAATTGCTTTATTGCGTATAAACACAACTTTTCAGGTTGTATGACTGTATTATCCATACAAATAGATTCAATAAACTATTCTGAATTTGAATGCTCCTTGTATTTTCCGGAGTAATTCCCAAAAAACTTGGTCGACCTCTGATTCTTACGAGATTCACTGACGCCGCCTAGTGATCAAAAACAAATTTCCGCAGCCGTAAATACCTCGGGCTCGATACGGTGTATGCTGTCAGTGGCCCTATAAGTTAGTTAAGTTTAATATGTTTATTATGCACCCCATACCATCCTGTGGGCGTAGTCAAAAGATTAGAGATCATACATTGTCCAGGGACTGGCACTTACAAAAGTTTTGATAGCTGATCAAGTTACAGGTAATGAATTCACAATTTATCAAAAGGTAATGAACTTCACAATTTACAAATGGTAAGAACTACCAGAGTCTAGTCACAATCATACAAGTTACAATAGGTATTAACCGATTACATGAGGTACGTATACTGGCCTATAAACCCAACAACAACAGCGAATACCTTGAATAATCTTAATCGCCATTCCAGACACCACTTAACAAAAAAAGGTAACTTCGTCATTCGGTGTATAGCCAAATATCACCAAAACAATAAAACTGCATTCATAAGAACTAAGAGTTACCTCAATCATACTACTATGCGCTGCTGCTGCTGACTACTACTGTTACCTAAAACATGAGCCAGGTTCTACTGCAGTCTAGCTCTTTCACCTCCGTGGTACCTAATACCCTGTTTCTTGTGTTATTTGTAACGGCTAGGCAAAACTCCTTGTCAGCGAAACGTTACCACAATGTCACATCAGTTGCACATGTGTCCTTGTACCTAACATTGTCGGTAATTCAACCTTTATTACTAATAAAATGGATGTAAAGCCCACGGTTATGTCTATAAAGACAATATATATAAACTCTTATTGAGACTATGTTGAATTTATCATGTCTCTATCATAACTTGATAAAGCTCATCTCTGTTGTACAGCATAGTCTCAATAAAAGCTTCTGCATTTTGCAGCTTTATATCCATGCTATAGAAAAGTCATTAACTCTGCTGAAGAGAGCCAGCGTCTAGTGACTCCATGAAGGAGGTCGCCAGCAAAGCTCGACGTTGTGGTCTGAAAGCTGTGACAAATTTCTGTTATTACCGCAGCTTTTCTTAGAAGGAATGATGGTACACAGACGACCGAGTGTAATTAAGTCATTTCAAGGAGAGGGAAGAGGTTACTGATTAGAAGTCTGTCGTTCATTAACTGCAGAATATTTTCACTTATTACTTTGAAAGAATATTTTTCTTATAGCGGACCTGAAGAAAACAAATTATGTAATATTACAGTTACTAGGAATATGGTAATCAGATTGCCCGATTAAAGCAAAATAAATCCCCGGGCCCTGAACTTTTTGAAATGGTTTTAAGAAAACATTAACATTTTTAATATATCTCCTCAAACAGGTGTAGTGATATATGGAAGATGGCCAATGTAATTCCTGTTTTTAAAGCAGGGGATGAGTCGTTACCGTCAATTTACCACCCAATAAATCTGACCTCAACTCTAGGCAAATTACTGGAGTCATTTATAGTTGATATTATAAGAAGCCATTTTGATACTATATTATTTATTTGGATTTTAGAGTACCACACCAAAGACAAAGAAAGTGGCAGCACTCGAATCATGGTTCACCAACAGGAAGCAGAGAGTCTGCATAAATGGGGTAAAATCTGAGTAGGGATCAGTGGCGTTCCACAAGGAACGGTTTTAGGCCCATTGGTGTTCAAAATATACATTAATTACCTTGACGAGGGAATTACAAGTGACATGAGCAAATTCTCTGACATTGCATAATAAATCTTCCATACGAAGAAAGACTGAAATCCCTTAAACTACATTACTATCTTGTAAGACGAAGAATGACTGGAGATATGACTGAAGTGTATAAGTGAAAGAGGGGCATTAACAGGGAGGAAAGATATTAATAAGGTTCTGAGGATCTCTCTCCAAGAAAGAACTTGTAGTAATGGATTCAAATTGGATAAGTTTAGATTTAGAAAGCATACAGGAAAGTATTGATTAGGAAACAGTAGTTGATGAGTGGAACAGTCTGCTAAGCAGGATCACTGAAGCTAAAATTTCGAGCAGCTTCAAAATTAGATTGGATAAATACACGAGTGAGAAGTGCTGGATCTGAGGAGATATTGATCATGAGTTAACAGGGTTGTCAAAGCTTGTTCCTTGGATAGCCCTGAAAATGGGTTGGGCAAATATTTTTTGTTTAGTGGGTTTGGGAAGGACTTACCTAGTATGGGCCAACAGGCCTGCTGTAGTGTTCCTTCATTATGTTCTTATAACTAATTTCTTGCTCTTAATTCTAATGTCCAATTCCACAAGTTAAGTTCCAAGACAATTTTAAATGAGAACTAAACATTCTTGCCAAAAATCTATAAGAGGCTGATAACGGAAGGTTTTTCTGTAGACCTGGGAATGCCTGATTGCTATATTCTCCTGAGAATAATCATGTGATGAATTATTTTTTTCTCCAGCGAATCAAGCAAGGGAGACGCTAGGTTAAAATATCAGTGTCAGTACTCTTACTTCCCGTCAGGCTGTGGACTCTGGTAGAGCAGTACAAAATGTTCGCCCAGGAGAACATCTACTTCACTGACTGTCTCCTGCGACACATGCACCAGTACCGCTTCATCGCTCACTACGACCCTGATGAGATCCCCATCTTGCCCAACCATCACAACTACACACACTTTTTGGAACACATGTTGACGAGGTAGGTGAACATTTTTTTTTTTAACAGAAACATTGATAAATTACACATATGTGCAACACTTGAGTATCTTTTGTGGCAACGTTTCGCCACACAGTGGTTTCATCGGTCAATATAAGAACATAAGAACATAAGAACGAAGGAACACTGCAGAAGGCCTACTGGCCCATGCGAGGCAGGTCCAAGTCTCCTACCGGCTTAAGCCAATGCACCCAACCTAGTCAGGTCAGGTCACATTGACTTAAGGGAGGAACACGGCAACCGACCTGTTAGCACAAGCTATCAGGTCTAACTCACACCCACCCACATCTACTCATGTATTTATCCAACCTATTTTTAAAGCTACATAACGTTCTGGCCTCTATAACGGTACTTGGGAGTTTGTTCCACTCATCCCACAAACTCTATTACCAAACCAGTACTTTCCTATATCCTTCCTGAATCTGAATTTTTCCAACTTAAAACCATTGCTGCGAGTCCTGTCTAGGCTAGATATTTTCAGCACACTATTTACATCCCCTTTATTTATTCCTGTCTTCCATTTAAATAATAATATTGAATAATAATATTGAAAATCAGAAGGAGTTTGAGGTAATCAGTCCCTCAACCTGGAATTGATGTGATCAGCCCATCAAGATTGATTGACTGATTACCTCAAACTCCTAAGTTTTCATCAACTTTGTACTGGACTGATGAAGTCACTGTGTGGCGAAACGTTTCCACAATAAAGATACCCAAGTGCTGCACAAGAGTCTAATTTATCAACTTATCGGTTCTCTGAACCATTTAACTACAAAAATATTTTATGAAAAATAAAAGAATTAAGATCTCATACTTCAAACATTCATGCTTTAAATTTTCCTATTAAAAATGTTACATAGCAACATAAAAAATAAACAGAGAAAACAATTTTCATAACTTGTATTGGACTCTTAACAGCAGCAAAATCCATATTAAGAAATTTAAACAAAACAGGAAACGTCTTGTTACAGGGCTTATAGACGTACAGTATATAGCCAGGGGGCCCCAACCTGTGGCCCGTGGGCCGCATGTGGCCCTTCCAGGAAATGGATGCGGTCTTCACACGGAATTATTAATTCGCTTTTATACAGGTTCCACAAAGCAGTCTCAATAGTTACAAAATATTTAAAGCAATTTTTACACCAAAACTTTATCGTCACCTCTAATAAATACCTTTCACTTCTGGTCGGTGTTGGTTTATCCTAGTAGCACATGTACGACCAGCTACATGTAGGACCTGCTACATGTAGGACCTGCTACATGTAGGACCAGCTACATGTAGGACCTGCTACATGTAGGACCTGCTACATGTGTTCAAGAGTTGGTTTATCCTAGTAGCACATGTAGGACCAGCTACATGTAGGACCAGCTACATGTAGGACCTGTTACATGTAGGACCAGCTACATGTAGGACCAGCTACATGTAGGACCAGCTACATGTAGGACCAGCTACATGTAGGACCTGCTACATGTAGGACCTGCTACATGTAGGACCAGCTACATGTAGGGCCTGCTACATGTAGGACCAGCTACATGTAGGGCCTGCTACATGTAGGACCAGCTACATGTAGGACCTGCTACATGTAGGACCAGCTATATGTAGGACCTGCTACATGTAGGACCAGCTACATGTAGGACCAGCTACATGTTAGGACCTGTTACATGTAGGACCAGCTACATAGGACCAGCTACATGTAGGACCAGCTACATGTAGGACCAGCTACATGTAGGACCTGCTACATGTAGGACCTGCTACATGTAGGACCAGCTACATGTAGGACCAGCTACATGTAGGACCTGCTACATGTAGGACCTGCTACATGTAGGACCTGGTACATGTAGGACCTGCTACATGTGTTCAAGTGTTGGTTTATCCTAGTAGCACATGTAGGACCAGCTACATGTAGGACCAGCTACATGTAGGACCAGCTACATGTAGAACCAGCTACATGTAGAACCAGCTACATGTAGAACCAGCTACATGTAGGACCAGCTACATGTAGAACCAGCTACATGTAGGACCAGCTACATGTAGGACCTGTTACATGTAGGACATGCTACATGTGTTCAAGTGTTGGTTTATCCTAGTAGCCCATGTAGGACCTGTTACATGTAGGACCTGTTACATGTAGGACATGCTACATGTGGGACCTGCTAAATGTGGGACCTGCTACATGTGGGACCTGCTACATGTGGGACCTGTTACAAGTGTTCAAGTGCCGGTTTATCCTTGTAGTCCATGTAGGACATGCTACATGTAGGACCTGCTACATGTAGAACCAGCTACATGTAGAACCAGCTACATGTAGGACCAGCTACATGTAGAACCAACTACATGTAGAACCAGCTACATGTAAGACCAGCTACATGTAGAACCAGCTACATGTATGACCTGTTACATGTAGGACCTGCTACATGTAGGACCTGCTACATGTGTACAAGTGCTGGTTTATCCTAGTAGCCCATGTAGGACATGCTGCATGTAGGACCTGCTACATGTGTACAAGTGCTGGTTTATCCTAGTAGCCCATGTAGGACATGCTGCATGTAGGACCTGCTACATGTGTACAAGTGCTGGTTTATCCTAGTAGCACATGTAGGACCTGCTACATGTGTTCAAGTGCCGGTTTTTCCTGATAGCACATGTAGGACCTGCTACATGTAGGACCTGCTACATGTAGGACCTGCTACATGTAGGACCTGCTACATGTAGGACCTGCTACATGTAGGACCTGCTACATGTAGGACCTGCTACATGTAGGACTTGCTACATGTGTTCAAGTCAAAGCTCTGGTCAAGACTTATTGATAAATTTTTTCATCAGATTTTAAGACTACAGGTAACAAACACTGAATTAGATGTTAGTTCTATCTCTAGTAAACCGCAGCTTCGTATATCAGTGATTTTTAGAAGTGGTGAGCTGATTTTGATTATTTCTTTCAATTAATGAGGGTAATTATTATTAAAACATGGGTTACGTTAGTTGCTACGTTGATTCAAGAGCTCCAATAAGCTAAGAAAGTGAGTGGGGGGGGGGGGTGAGGCTGGGAAGGAGAGAACAGACAATGAATTGGAACAAAATGCTCCAGCTGGCAGACCTGTCCGGCTAGATATATACATAAATTTTCATTTAACATAAAAAACGGAGCGAAATGTTTTCATGGCCATCATAAGATCCCCCAGACAAACGCTCCAGGTTAATTCACACAGCCACCTGACACAGGAAACAGTTTTGTAGAGACAATATTTTCAATCAAACTTTCGCTCACGAAAAACGTGTTAAAATAAATCTTATACATTACTGTAACAACGAATTAATTGAACCAGAAAAAGCATAGCGAAGCATCATAGGACTCCAAGTATGTCGGGAGTCAAAGCAATGAGAACGAAACAAATTATTCTGTGTAGTATACGCCTTCCCCTGGGAAAAAAAAAAGTTCTTTTGCAGTATAAAATTAAAACAATCGGTAATAACACTGAGGAACGATAATTAATGACTTATTAGATTTTGTAATATACATCGGTCGTAAACTGGGTATCGGTCAAATTTTAGTATCATCCCACCCTTATTTATATATATAATATATATAAATATATATATATATATATATATATATATATATATATATATATATATATATATATATATATATATAAATATATATATATATAAACACATCGGCCGTCTCCCACCAAGGCAGGGTGGCCGGAAAAAGAAAAACTTTCATCATTCACTTCATTACTGTCTTGCCAGAAGCGCGCTTACACTACAGTTTTAAAACTGCAACATTAACATGTATATATGTCGCGCCATGAAAAAAAAAATCCTTGAACCAGCTCTGATATACACCTGACACGCCAACACACATAACCCGGGTAGTTTCCAGCGGATACACCAGTTCCCAACTTGACACATACGCGCCTTAGTACACACCGTCCTCTTGATTTGACAGTGTCGCACCTCACGGCTTCTCATCACGGTTAGGTCATGTTGGATTTGCCAGGAAACAGGACAATTGTTTCCTGACGAGAGTTTTAGTCATATGAAGACCCGCAGCTGGAGTTTTTGATCATCTGACCGAAGCCTTCCACTGGCTCACAGGTCCACCTCTTTAAAAATTATCTTTGCTTATCATGACTCTATATACACTTCATAAATGTTGATCCCCAAGGCAGATGTTGTCTCTAAGACTCCCATCCTATCATAGTCCGTCTTTTTTATATAAAGAAAAAAAAAATGTTGGATATTTTCAGTGTATCCCTAGGTTAAAATTTCCATCGCGCTGAACAGCCTCACGTTGGGTAATGAGAACTACGACAATGTTCCGTAGGTAATAATGGAGTAACTTCATACAGAGGGGAATAAGAGTCAAAATTAAGTTCACTGGCCGTTCACTGTTCTCTGTCTGTGAATATAACTTGACTGCAATTTCAGAGACAAACAGTTGACTTACTGACAGTCCTATCGCTTCCTTCCTTGGATGGCTCTTGCCCTCATTGAACACATCCTGCTGGCTACTATAACATCCTACCAAACACTTGGATACCAGCCAACTACAATAACCTGAACTAGGAATGATCATATCCCACAAGCCTCACAGTACAACATATTGGGAGCCACGCCAACGAATAGTTAACAAGTGTTTATGCAACTAACAATGACAAATTTGTCTGCTAGTCATGTGTACTTAAAAATATGGACATTTACATACCTGGCATTAGGTGTGTGAGCTGACCCATGAAGAGCTGTAAATATGCACTTACCTGTAATGGAAAAAAAATAAGATATTATCAAGATAGCAAATCTCTCAATCAAGTAAACCCAAAATTTTAGAAAAACAATAATTTGATAATCATTGCAAATCTATAATTTCTCTCAACACGTCAGCCACATTTCATATTTAACGATACTAATCTTGTCATGCTGGAGCCACTAGAGCTTCATACACTGGTGGTAATGAAGGCTATGACTGACCCACACT